TCTCAGAATTGCCATTTCACAAAATTAACTAAAGTAATTGATATTTGGCTTATATATAAGAACGTCTGGTTTAAAAACATAATATTAAGCTTTCTATAAGAAATTGGAGAATGCTAGAAGGTGTCCCATTAATAAATGCAATAAACATCTACGAATGAGTTGGGGATATTTGCTAAGAAGTTCTACTATATATTGATATTGATTGACAGATATCGTTGTTTGAAGAAATTTTCAAACAGTAAGATCGAAACGTAGTTCTTAAAGAATCGACTCATAAACGAATCAAAGAATTATGGTAACGAACCATACTGTCTATTCGTCATTTTTTTCAAATAATTTTTTTAGAGTTTTTTAAACAAGGAATTTTTAGATAAGAAAACAATATGCCATTATTTACGTTCTTTATAAGGCAGCATCAATCAACCCGTTATTGTAGATAGTCAAAACACAGGTAAAAACTGTAAGTGCAATAGGAGCCATTTTTTTCTCACTCACTGTCTCACCCAAAATATCAATCAGTGTTGCATCGTGGATCTTTATATTTCGATTGCAACTAAATTGTAGATGGTAAATAGGAGTTTTTTTTAATCACTTTCAATCAGACTAGTAATATAACTGATGACATCATATTTAATAACCAAATAGACGGAAAAGGGGATCTTAAAATGCAAAACTACTTACTTCACTTATGAAATACTACGAAACTACATCAAGTCACTAAATTGTCACTAAGAGCACAAATTCTGTAAAAGCAGTCTATTTTTATAAAACCAAGCCCTAAAACATGGAGTTTTAAAGGGACTGTAATAAACAAGATGGCCGACGGCAATTGCCTTCTTTTGAACAAGTCTTTCTTTACTTGTTTACTAAAGTCTGTTTACTTGTTTTTTGTGCCTTCTTAAGGGGATGAACCGTTAACTAACTCCAGCTGGATTCTGTATAACACTATTGAAGGAAAACTATATCATAACTATGATGGTTAACTTTATTATGAAAAACTAAATTGTAGACAACATTGCTATATTTCTTTAGGTCCCCCCCCCCCCATGTTCTTTTATTATCGGTTTAGTTACATTTGTCACATTCGTGTGGTAGGAACGAAAAATAAAAATTATAATTGAATTCAAATTGATATCGCAAATACAAAATTATGACTTTCAATTTAAGTTACACTTAGCATTTTTTTGTGCTATAGAACAAATTTGTGTTTACTTTTTTACTGTTTTTATAGTACCATAAAATTTGTTGTCGGAGGTATCATATTTTAGCAGTTGTTTAGTGATTTTAGTTTCTTGGACCATTGATCTATATTCACACTAACCCACTGAAACTACCCCACTACAGTTTAATGTAGTATGTACTTAAGTAATAAGATCGGTCTACATTTTTCTACTTCGATTAAAACAAAAAAAATTATACTTCAGCTATAGAGAATCAGCTGTTAGAGTTATGTTGTTGACTCCCTATTGTAACATTTACTATTTTATGTTAGTGAAACGTCAAAATTATAGATAATCTATGAATCTTTTTTATTTTGTAGTTCCTAGTTTTCTTTGGACATCAGCAAAGGGCGTTATGATGACAGGCCTGTAATAATTAACGAGGAGTCAACAATGTGTGTAAATGTGCGTGAAATTTCAACTACAGGGGTATATATCCTTTGACAACGTTTTAGTCCAATATAGACTTTTGCAACGCGTTTGCAATTACTAAAGTATTTAATTTGTGCTCTAGGTGGACTGGAATATTAATATTTGTTTTTTTTTATTATTGTTGTTGCTGTGGTCGATAAAAATTGAGAGGAAATTTGGTACTACCATTTTCTTAAACACACGCTTGGGGTAAAAATAGGTATCTTCTTCATGGGATAGGATGGAGGTTAACTGTCATTTATCATATACTCTCGATCATACCGGAACTTTTTTTTAATTTTAGCAACCCTTTTACAAAGATTGTTAATTAATGGTAATGTTAATTGTTTCAATAAGTTATCATCCGCCTCTCTAATATCTGTTATTTCCATTCAACGATGGTTTGTACCAGGTTTACAGTGAGAGTAAGAGAGAGAGAGGGTTTCCCTTGAAGCAGCAGCAGGCAATGCGGGTGCTAGCTGGGTGGGCTTAGTGCGACAACACATAGCCCTCGCTTACACTAAATGAGCTTACTGATTACCTTCGTTTGTTTCTTCACCCCACCTGTTGGTTTTTAGTAGATAAGTGGTACTCGATACTATGTTATTTTCCGCATATCCCGTACCTTTTCAATGAGATATATATTATTGCAGACGTTTTTGTGTCCATGGTCGCGAGTTTGCATTTTAAGGTAAATCTAAAGATTAATTTATTGTTTTTTTTTTTAAGAGAACCTTTAACATTTTGATTTTGCAAGCAACTATTTTTAGGTGGTTCCCACAAAGTTAATTCGGGGGAATATCCAAATTATTGAAATTTATTTTATTAATTTATTTATTTGATTATTGACATTAATTTACATGGTTATATCAACGAGACTTAGTTGCTCCTGAGCAAGTAAACCATCTAGATGTTAAAATTCTCTTCAATAAAACCAAGGAAATTTGTGATTGAAATTGTTTGTAATGTACAACCAGTTAAAATATCTTTTCGGAACTCTAATTTGCAAGCTCCTCAACTGACAACACCCCTTAAATTTACTTGGTGTGCTCTATACTATCTAACCTATAATTCAGTGTGGTTTGGGAACCATCAGGACACTGCTCTATCACAGCCTAGAGCTACGACATATCTAGTGGTTAAAAAGCGAGACTTCTGGCGACCGCCAATGGATTAAGCTGCTTAGTACTGAGGATCGAGACCGACCTTAACCTGAGGGTTCAGAGGGTTCATTAATTTAGAAAACACAAAGAGGGATAAATATATTACTATTTCTCAGAAAAGAACTTTCTCCTGGATGAAGAACTCCCTCTGCTAAAAATCAAACGTAATAACGGATTTTTAAGGTACAATTAGGTACGAACCTACTTACCATATCATGAAAAAACTATCAGTATTTAACTTTGATCCCACAAGTGGTCAAGAAGCTGACATTTTCCGTACAAAAGTTTTCCACAATCGTAACACTCTTATGTCATCGTAAAGTTTGGTCATCTTTCAAAACTCATTTTCCACTAGTTTCTAAAGTCTACTAATGTTGTTATATTGACACATACATGTTACATTTTCTGTTAAATTGACAAAGTCTGTATCATATTAAACATTATACTGACTCGCGCATGCTACATGAGTTTTTATGTTGACCCACATATTCAATAAATGTTATCTTGATACATCATACATTCGTCTTACCTGTAGCAATTAATTGTCAAGTGCCAGTATTATAAGGGAATTATTTAAAAACTAACAACAGTCATAATCTTCGACAGTTTGAAAGATTCAACCAAATTCTCATGTACTCAATGGAATTACTCATTTGCAGTTACAAATAAACACTTCTAAATATCACTTGTAAATATATTTTATCATCTTTCAGAAGCTAGCCTTGTTTTTTAGTATTTTCTACAAATGTTTCCCGACTTACCCATAGCTGTTACCAGTAAACATTTCTTGTATGTATTGATTTGATCTGACATTTAGGCAAGTTTACTTTACCACCGTGACAACACGATGCGTATTTTTTCACTTCCTAAGTAAGTTGCATAGCAGAACTGGTAAATATTATTCATCTCTCCAAGTGAGGGTGTATCTTGATTCCTTACTGTAGACCAGGCCGCTCTTCTACTCTTCTCATACGCATAAGATTCCATATTAATTGCCTCCTCCTCCTGTTTTCAATATTTCTTCTTAGAATTTGGGGCATTTTTGTTCTTCAAACAAAACTAACTTTTTACATTGTAGTCCAAGCAAACTAAAAAAACGGACACAGGGAAAGTTAAAAAAATGCAAGAAAACGTTTTATGGTTTTATTTTATAGTGTTGGGTCTGCAGAGTGACATACTAAAAGTTGACAAAAATCGGTCCACAGGAAACCTCCTAAAATCACGATTAAAAATGGCGGCTGTTCCCAACATTGGACAAATTTGGGAAAAATATACCACATACATATTATATTCAACGTTTTTGAGATATTGACTTGGGATGACCATTGACCACCGATGTTTATTGGGTGGTTAGTACTTCATTTCGATAGGGAACTCATTTTTGGCCGCCATCTTGGATCCGCCATATTGGATACAAATCAAAAACATTACATGTAATGATAACATTGTGACACATCATTATATTTGAATATATCTTCAAAACGTAAACAGATATTTAAAAAGGGATTTCGGCGTTGAAATTAGCGTGAAAATCTAGTTTATAATGATGTGTCACAACGTTATCATTACATTTATGTTTTTTTATTTATATCCAATAGTCCCCTATCGAAATGAAGTAATAACCACCCAATAAACATCGGTGGTCGTCCCAAGTCAATATCTCAAATATTTTTGAATAAAAAATGCATGTGGTATCTTTTTTCAAATTTTTCCAATGTTGGGAAAAGCCACCATTTATAATAGTGATTTTAGGTGGTTTCCTATGCAATTTTTTAAAGGTCATATTCTATATTTCTCTAACTATCGGTCTATAACCTCCTGAATATTACAAACATCCATATTTACTCCCAAAAAGCTGTAGTTTCTTTTTTATAAACAGCTGTTTATTTGTTTTTAGATTTGTTCTATGTAGTTTGTATGGGGGCAATGGACCTTTGAGAGCACCACAAGCCCTTTGGAATAAGATTTTTTTAGTTCTAAAAGCATATTGCAAAACTACAAATTGATACGAATCTTTTGACACCTCAGGCGATGAAATTGGTCAACCAATGAGGGAGGATTAGAGCTCACAAAAACGGCTTCACGTATTAAAGATATATATTTGATTAGATATAGTAAATTGTAAATTAGTTAATATATCGATGTACACATATTAAATTAGTTGTTATATTAAAAACGTTACATCAGCTGTTTTGTTTTGTTCCAGATGGCATTCCTCCAAAGCAGATCCATATCTTTGGTGGACATGTACATTGACAATTCAGAACCCTCCGAAAATGTTGGACAGATTCATTTCAGTCTTGAATACGACTTTCAGAATACCACCCTTATACTACGGATCCTAACGGTAAGTGTTTTAAACTGTGAATTCCTAAATTAAATCAGAAGCATAAAGAAATTCTAATACATAGGTAAACTTGAAAACCCCTACGGTTTGTTGATGTAAAAATCTATGGTGTAGGCATCTGATTTTTAGTCAGGTGAGATGTAAGAATATGTGTCACAGGGCAAGAAAAGTATGTTACGTTACTATTCCGGAAAATGCGGGATTACCATACGAGTACGCTAAACACATTATGGGCGTAAAAAGTACGATATCTTTTGCCATACTAAAGCAACATAACAAAAAAAGCTGTACAAATCCGTTATATATTCCCACCGACTAAAGTACTTAAAAATCACTCTTCATAAACTCTAAGAGAGGTTGTGTTTTCGTTTATTGCCAATTATAATCAGCTGGTGTCCCGTACATCTCATTACAGTCCAGTAGTACGTCATGAAACCCCATTTGATTAAGCAGGCGGCAAACAGCTGTTTTCCGGACTAATATCATGCGTGGAAAGGCTATTAAAACAGTGTAGTGTGGCAAAAACGTATTATTTATTATATTAGGAGTATAACGCATATGCAGTCTTCAAACACTATTTCTTGAGTAGTATATAACTTATGTTATAAAACATTTATGAGAGGAAATTAATTTATGAATAGAGTATAAAAACCTATTATTCTAAATTTACATGGTTAAATTAGCGATTGATATCGATATAGGTATTTTACTCCGTATACTTATATGACTTTCACATGCATTGATATTAGCGAAAAAATGTCGCCTTATGTCTAAAAGGTTTTGATGTCCATAAACAAGATTAAAGTAGTACAGTCATTATAATATTTCAATTATTCAGGTCTTTGTAACTAAATATGAGTCTAAAGTTTTCATGAGATAAGCCTTATAAATAATATTTAGAGTTAGATCCACCAAAATAACTCATAAATTAAGAGAGCATTCTATTTCTGTGAAAATGTCGATGGAATTCATATTGTCACTTACAAAGAATTTATTTGGGAATTATTTTTAAGTTTAATCAGTATTATGAGTGGTTGAATTGTTTAGTTCCAAGCAACACAGACCAGTGGCGTGTAATGTGTTTTTTTTTAGAATCAGAGGTTTTTGAAATTGAATAACAAATACCATGCGAAAATTATTATTTGTATGTAACTAATGCTCAAAGTGGCACTTAAATGCACTCGAGAGAAACGTTTAGACCGAATGTGCCCACGAATAAACCACATTTTTCCAATTCCCTACATTTATTGTAAATATAGATATAACACTAATACATTTTCATCTGGTTGTTGGTTTAACAAAATAATTCAGCCAATCCGTTTGTAGTATTACAATAATATTTTCCATCATTTGCACTGATTTGATTAAATAAAATAAATTGTTATTCCATTAAACAATTTCTAAGTTACAAGTCAAATATCTCACGTTGTAGTTGTATAAAAAACGGCAACAATGGTTAGCGAAACAGCTGATCTATTATCAGCCAACGCTGCCAAGTTGATTTCCTGGCCACAACGTAACTTACTATTTCTTATTTTTGGTCGAAAAGTAAGACAAAGTAAAACGAGAGTTAAAAGTCAAGATTTTTCGAAAATTTTAAAGACTGCGGGAACCTGTTATTTTGTGTGTTTGAAATATGCCAAAACGGACACTTTATTAGGGAACAATAGAAAACCAAATCACTAATTAATTCATCATTTCAAAAGGTTATTCACAAATTTTCGACTCTTATTAATTTTTTTTATTAAAAATGGCAGACTTTTTAAAATTGTAAATCTTAAACATACTGTCTTTATTTTGTCAGCTCAACAAAAAATATTCTTCAAATGTAGGCGTTGAATTTTAAAGGCTGGCGGCGCGCGGTAGATGACAGAACTTGGATGGCGCCCGCATTCGACGCGATGCAACAGTGATACACAATGTATGATTTTTGCAGTCATAATTTACCGGCACGTACTTTATGCCAAATACTTGTACATTCTTTATTCTACTCTATATAATAAGCTATCTGTGATAAGTTTTAGTACTTTGAGCACTTCGTAATTTACAGGTACACTTCTCCAATTGGAATTTGAATGATTTTTAGGTTAAAATTCAAGCCGAATGTTTGGGTAAAATGGGCGATTTCTATGGGACTATGGGTAGCCAGCTGAGTTGATTTAGCTTAGTAACCTGTTGATTGCCGGTTAAAGGTCGATTCACACATTTCAGTCCAGTCACAGTTCCGTTACAGTCCAGTTGCAGTCCAGTTACAGTCCAGTCACAGTTGCATCCGCAATTTCTCAGTCAATTGTCCGTCAGTTGGTTTCAGTCAGTCTTCCGTATCTAATATTTACAGTAATTTACAGTCAAAAGAATTTAAATTTTAAACCTATATTCTATTAAATGATCACTGTCCATCTTGTTGATTGTTACAAACAGTAATCAAAATACAAACGCAACCATTTAAATAACAATAACACTATTTTCTAACCTCAAACAGTTCCGTCAGGCGTCCGAACAATCAAAAAGTATCGTTGGAAAGAAATCTGAAATTGACTGACGGATGCCAGCAGAGTGACTGACGGGACTGCAACGGATGAGTGTAGATAGCGCAATAGAATATCCATCAAAGAATATTTTTCTTAACTGTGACGTGCCTGAAGTGACTTTACTGTGACGTGCCGTAACTAATGTGTGTGAATCGACCTTAAATCATGAAAAATTAGGGGCTTTTTCATTGTTTAGGAATAGATCAATCAGACTATTAATGGTTTTGCCAAAGAAACAGCTGTTCTTAGTTAGTATCAAATTCACATAAGGTATGTCACTACTATTATAATTCAGGCAAAAGCATTGAATCTCAAAATAATCACATAATTGAATTTCTATTTTATCGCTGTATGTAGTTAAGCTAGACTTATCAAACAGTAAAACGAGTTTTAATGGAAGTAGATCATGACAGTGTGTCCAATAATCCATTTGTTTATCAAAATGGGTTGTGGGGAGATCAAAACAACGTATTCATGTCATTAGTTTTTCATCAACGGTGTGCGTTACATTCAAAAACACGTCCCCGCATTGTGTCATTAAAGTTTGCCGTCAACTGTAGAGAGCTTATAACATAGTGAACATTTCATCATGTTTAACAACATTGGCTCTGCTAAACAATTGTGTTACTCACATTATTATCTGGGGTAGTTTTCTGTGCTTTATGTGTTTAAACTTGAATGGTTTTCATTTTTTTATCGATAAATGAGCTAACTGTTGTAGAAGATAGTAAATAAACAAAATACCAAACTATTGTTTTGAGTTTTCTGTTCAATATTAAACCTGTTGAGTATTATACAATTCTAGTGTATGAATTACATTTCGTGGAGTTATTTCTTGGGTACATCACTGTTATTGTCAAAAGTACATTGTTTTTAAATTTTACACGAAACATCATGTAACATACCATCATATGTTATATTAAGCAAAACTGTAAATCAAGCTAGGGATAGTAATCATGAAAACTGAATGTATCAGATAAAATGTCTTAAAAAGGTTTGGGATTATGTCTGATGAATTAGCCCACATATATGAAAAATGACAGATGTACTTTATTTTCATTCTTTAACTGTTGAAACTATGCATGGTACAATAAAGTGAATGTATTGTGTAATGTTTTCTATAATTCAAAGCAATCGCTTATTTACTTATAAGTTTGAACTTTTCAGATTAAACATGTTCTGTTAATTCTTTACTTGAATTTTCAATTGGGTTAAGTTAGATTGCGTTTATATTTTAACTACCATACAGGTACATTTCTTTCATTTCAAATGTAAATATCACATAATTCGCTATGCTTTTAAATATGCGATTTCTTTTTCATTATATAGAAAGAAAACACGATTATTGGATAAAATTACCATTGTTATAGACTGCAACTCCCTTACTGAATTGTATTAAGGTACTCTATTTCTCTTGAGTTTCAGAGAAATAAAATAAGCCACGTTTTTCAAATGAGGTCAAGTTTTCAGTGGTCTATTTTTAATGCATTATTTCCACAAATATGGACCCCATAAGTTAATTAACATTCACCACGAAGCACCCAATCAGGGCCAGCTTCTCGTATGTATTTTCCTCATATCATCCACTCCATGTGGCCAAGTTTAGGACTATTCCAGGTATCGATTTAGTAAGGGCATTAGTTTTGATTAAAACTTATCCGTGTGAATATGGCTAAGTTTCACTTGACATCTGCTTGAATACAACCAAATATATGCAATAATTACAACGTTTTACATTATTTTCATGAAAGTTGTATGCATATTAACCATAGTGTAACATTTATCTTTAAGATTGATCTGCTGGGTGCCACAAAAATGAGTTTACCGAGTAAGTGTATTTGTTTGAAGCAAATAATAAATAATTTGTATTTATATTATAATTTTATTGAATTGGAAATTTTCACTAAACATAGATTGTACTTTTAAAAGAATTGTTCATATTGCTTTCCTGTAACTTCAATGCATTTTTCACAGCTTTTCTTCTACACTTGTAACAATCTTTTGCGTGGATTTTAATTGTTTTTGAGGCTTCAAATTATCTTGCAAAGGCTGCTCTCAATTGCAGAGCATTTCATTTCGGCAAAAAGTTTATTTTTCATGATCCCCCAAATATATAAGTTTTCGGTGTAAGATCTCAGGACCTTGAGCCCAATCAATTCGCAAGAGAATCTGAACCTTTAAACAACAATAAGAATTTATGCAAAAATATTGATACGAGAGTAAAAAAAACGTTGTGAAAATTGCATTTAAGTTAGTGGAAAGGATTTTGAAGAACTATTTTCAGTTTACAGCCTATGTTGTGTAAATTCAGTTTTAATCAAATTATAATATAAACAAAATTGAGCTAATTTGCTTAAAACAAATACACCTACTTGGTAAACTGATTTTTGAAACACCCGGTATATACTTCGGTTATGAGCCTTATATTTAAGGTGTATATAGGTGAATGGTAAGCGTTGAATGGACGGGATATAAGCCTCATTTGTGTTTATATGAGGCTTATTGTAGTAGCTGCTTCTTCAGGTAGTACCATTTGTTAGAGGCCTTATGCCCAAGAACAATTAAACAATCAAAAAGCTTATGTCGTTTCTGGGCACCCAACCGGCAACCCTCTTACAGCGGAGCATTATATTCACTCAGTTACCCAACTACATTGGTAGAATGGTGCGGAAGCCGTAGAGGGGTTGAAGTAATGTGACTGAAAATATTCCCCTCGTTATATACCTAGCATTGGATAGATTTGATCAGTTAATACACAGCTATCCTTAAAATAATTTTAAAATTTTTTTTCTGTTTGAAACTGTATTCAATTATTCTACAATAATTTAATCAAATCCTGTAATATTACACTTGACTAATTTTACATTTTAACTGAGGTGCTTTTCGAAGTTGTATCTGCTGTAATGTCTATAAAACAGCTTAATTGAACATTCTCGATGAGAAACAAAAGAACTTATTAGCCTGATGGTACATTTTTAAGTAGTTTTGGACTAGAATAGATTTTTGAAAAGATCAAAAGCACTCTAAAACCTTCCTGTATTCTTCAAAGGCTAAAACTCCTTTACCAAACGGAAGAACTGCATTAAGTGCGTCAACAACCATTGACAAACACACAATAGCATTTAAAAGGAAAGCTGCCACTCTGCTGTGTTCAGACAGTATCGTGTTCATAATGGAATAACTTCTGAGCTTGTTGATGTGCTTTAATAGACTTATCTTCAAACTAACATATATACTGTATACTTTTTTAGAATACTCTACTTTGTTCAAAATACTATTTGAGTTAAGGGTTGTACGAGTCGTTTGAATAGTTACAATACACAAAAATAAACAAACTATTACCGCTAACAGAGGTACCTTAGATATTTATGTAAGAATACTTAGTTTTTGAAAAGTTTCAATACACAAACTTTTATCTAATGAACAAACTACAAGCTACTATCAAACGTAATCAACATGTTCATAATGAAACACGTTTCAAACTTTGCTGAATGCTTTAAAACATAAACTTGAGGAGCAATGCATTACAATATTCACGTTTTGTAGATAAGTAGATAAAAACGTACAATATAATTTTGAGTCATCATTGAACTTAACAAATATTAGCCACCATCTATTGGCTATTTAATGTCAGAAAAGTTGATCATTCCTACCCATTTAAAATTAACATTAGATTTAATGAATTAATTAATTACTTATTTAATTAAAGTGTCCCAAAAATTTCATAAATAAATGATTAATTAACTCTATTTTAGCATTATATAGTCATATACATATAGTATATAATAATATACATATGCACACACAAAATGGAGTTTTGTAAAATATTTCCACCTCTCAGAACATTTTCATCACATCATTAACTGGAAAAGCAATATTTTATTCCCTGAAACCATGAAATTACCAACCAAATCCATTACATTCGATCAAAGCTGTGACAAAGAGGTAGGTAGTCAAAACATCAACTTCCAAGTAGTATTACTTTAATCTAGAGCCGAAAAAGGGATATTAATAATGGAACCCTATGTCTATATTACTTTTTCAATGTTACAATTTGTCCATGTTTTTTTTTCTGTTCAGAATAGATAATTGCTTGAAACTATCTCTTAAAAAATGGAAACTTCATAAATAAATATATTCGTGGAAAACATATGTAAAATTTTTTTATAAGGAAGAGTGAAACTTGCTCCAGTATATTTCTCTGTTTAGGGTGTCTGGTTTGGGGAAGACATTTATATAGTTTAATTTTAAATTTCCAAAGAAGTGGTTGAAAAAAGATTTCTTGAATGTAGTTAACATTACTGAATCTATATTGAGTACATCTTGTATTTGTAATGTAAGATTTTCAAGGTTTGTATTTTGAGAAGTGTAGCTTGAATGTAAAACAATGTCGATGGATTTGTCTCAGGCACATATCCTAGGTAATCTAAAACTTACATTGATATAGTGTACTCAACAGGTATCCAACAGTATCTTCTAACTTGCCTCTTGTTTCTGTTCAGGCTAAGGAGTTGCCTGCAAAGGACATGTCAGGAACGTCGGACCCTTATGTTCGAGTTACGTTACTACCTGACAAAAAACACCGTCTCGAAACCAAAATCAAGCGCCGCACCCTCAACCCTCGTTGGAATGAGACGTTTTATTTTGAAGGTTTGTAGTTTCCTGTGACTTTGAGATTTCGGAGATCAAAGACATCACAGTTAGGGTTCGTGGCAGTAGCATAGCCTCCAAACTACCAATGATTATTGAAAATGTTGTATACATCTGCTTACTGGTAATCCCTTAAATAGTGTTCAGCAACTAATTTTGGTTGTGTGTACACCTATACATTGTTTTGATGTTTAAATATAATAGTCTTCAGCGAAAGATTACGGAAATATTATGGCAAAATACAGCCTGAAGATTTATCCAATTTTCGGCCAAAGCTAGTTGTTGGAAAGTTTGTATTTTTCTGTGTAAGTTACTTCCAATAAGCAGGTATCTACACAATTTTCAAAGTTTGGGTTTTTGTGTTTATTTTAAACTATCTAACTCTCGGCCAGTTTACTTAGCATCATTCATAGCTGGATGAGTCATTGTAGTGTAGCTTACCTTAAGCTCCATCTGATATTTCTGGGAATCAAACCTGTTTCTTGTGTAAACCTAACCTAACCAAAAACCTTAGACTTGAATAATATTTCATAAAAACATTGTTAAAGACTAGATTACCTGCCTATTTCATAATAAAACGTTTTTAAATAATAAGATGTTCACCCTTCATAAACATAAAATATTATATTTTTGTGACAACTGTAGTAAACATCTTATGGACTATGGTATATTGTACCATTGGAAGAATATTTAGTAATTCAGACGGAATAGCTTGTGGTTTTACAGAAATGGAAAATAATGTTTTGCACAAAAAGGGAATCACGCACGGTCACACAAGAAACCCTGATAAAATAACATAAGAGTTGCCTCACAAAACACAGTAATTAATGTGCATAATTTGTATGTTAATTTTGGTACTGTTGATACAGACCAAATTCAAAGATTATATTTTTCGTCAGCAAAATTCGTATAAGTTACTATTGCTGCGAAAACAAGCAATTATAAATAATCCCAGGATGATGGTTTGATTGCCATCAAGGTTAGTGGCACATTAACTTATGAATAGTGTAATGATTGAAAAATTACTGAATGAATGGTAATATGTATATACATGATTTACATGTTTTATTCTCTATCATTTATTTAGTGGGATAATCAGTATTGAATCATAATTGTACAGATAATTTTAGTTATCTGAAACGTGTGAGGGATGCCTTGTGATTAAGAATAGCATGGCTATTGTTATCTGTTTTGTATACTGCTATTCTTTATTCCCATTGAAGGCATATACAAGTCTTGTTTCCACTAAGTTCAATAAAAATCCTTCTTAGTAAGTGATTTAAAATGTGTGTCTTTAAGAATATAAATACACTTCATTTTTAAATTAAATATTTATTGAAACTGTTTATGATGAACAATTTATTTTTGATTCGTTCAATGATTTTTCGTTTTTGTAATTAGGTTCGAAAAATTAAAACTGAATAAAAGCATTGACTACAAACCCCTTTAAATAGCCAGCTGTATCGAATAACGTTCTGTGTGCTTGGCTTGACCAAGTAGTTTCCGTACATTTAAACAGATCGCTCCACCTGTACCACACAGTTAGCTGGTGAATCTGGCTGCTCGAGGCAGATGGAACCAAAGATGTCATTCAAACCATATTAAAAAAAACCAATGCATTGTATCTTGATAAGGTTAATTGTAAGACGTTGTTAAAAAAAATACTATAAAGTCAAATAATATTAAACCCCGTAGCTCGGTCTTTACCTGGTAAGCCAGTTTGTTTGTTTGGAAACCAGCCTTCTGATTTTTAATAACCCTTCAGTCACAGCAACCTTTCTATATAGTAAATTATCTGCTAAAATAGGGTACTGATAAATGTGCAAAATAAACAAGCTTTAGACTTCACTAGTAAGTGAGTGCAGCAACAATGAAACTCAGAAACTCATTCAGTTTAATTTACAGGTTTTCCCATCCAGAAGTTGCAGAGTAGAGTACTTCATTTGCACGTTTTTGACTACGATCGGTTTTCTCGTGACGACTCCATTGGTGAAGTGTTTTTGCCTTTATGCCAGGTATGTGATGAACAATTATTTAGAGAAACAAAACGCATTTTTATTAAGTATTAGATTATAAGGCATAGTCATACTGTATGCGTATTTTTCTTATAGAGATTAGTTTAAGATCTTAAATTCCAAACCGTTTGGACGAATATAAGCTGAAAACTCTATGAACCTAAAACATTTAGGGTAAAAAAAAAACTATCACAAAAGTCAATAAATATCTTCCTGATTACCATACAGTCAATATGCAATATCAGGGATTGACCTAAAAGGGCTGGATTGAAAAGTAATTTCATAACTAAAGTTATAAGTAATTTGATAGATTGCATTACATTTTCCCTTAACCAGACAAGTTTTGACGATCAATGAAATTAGTATTCACAGTGCTTAGTATATTGCACGATGATTGTGCTAATCATCTATGTACAATTAATTTATGTAAATATAAAATAATCCCAATATGGTTAAAGTAAAAGTGGATTATAATTATTGTAATAAATTGACACTAACAGTTTCCACAGTAACAATTTAAAACAAGTTTAGTTTATAAAAAATATTTGATATTACTAAGTTAATAATATTGACTCAGCATCACCAAAAACGAACTGCAAACCACGAATAATATTTGTGTTTGGTTATTAGCCACTTTACAATTGTTAAAAGGATGAATTAGTTTAAATTGTCTTTGTCTACACTGTGTCTTACACTATCAATCATTTAAATAACTGATTACAGAAGTTTTATACGCGTATATTACACTTTGGCTATTATTTGGATTCTAATTATATTGATTTAAAATAAACGATTTTATGGATAAAATACGTAGATGCATCAACACTGAATGTAAATAGTTCTCCACCGCATTTATAACAAATCGCCAATAAAATTTAGTCATCAGTTTCAATACCTTAATCCCCTTACTCAGGATTAAATTCAGCAAACTGGGCTTAAGGCACGTTTGTAGATGGGATTCATTTATTTTTGACAAGCTTTGTGCTTCATTAACCTTAGTTTTTGTATTAAGTACGTAATGTGTATCCAATATGAAAAACATGAACATCAGGAAGTACAGGTGGAAAACTCATCGACAAAAATCTCACTTCAGCATAGTGATTGGATTCATCTTTGCCCTTTATGTGGGCAGAATGAAAAGTTGGACACGTTGGTGCCAAGATTAAAGTTCAAGAGGTCTCTCAGATTAAGTTTGTTTGTTTTGTCATGTGTTTCTAAACTGTATTGTTTAAGAGTATTTATTTCAGCCAAATACACAGTTAAATGCCCAAACTATAGCCTCAATCAAGTGATTGAATACGATTTCCTACTTTTAATCAATCATGAAATGCTTGTAAAGTTGCCAACATGTAGCCTATCTAGTTTTTTTATTTAAATTCAGTAACAGTTCAATTTTTCAGTTGTATACAACGCGATGTACATCGTAGACTTTTAACATCGGTTCATACAGTGATGTTTTTTAATACAAAATTGTTCAATTGGGAGTAAATTGTTATAATACCTCAGCAAATTCTTGACACAGTTAACCTGCAGATCAAGTGAATTTATCCAAGATTAGTCATTCGCTTATCAGGTCTGATTATGATTGGAGTTTCTAATTGCAATCGATCACTAATCACCATCTATTGTATATACAGGGTGGTAATAAAGTCCGAATACAAATAAATATTTTCTAAATGACAACAGATAAATCAATAAGATTTGGTACGTCAACACCACACCTAAAAATCTACTTTTTTAGGAAATATCAATTTTCTGTCATATCATGGGGACCTCCCGCAAGGAGTTAGAAGGAAATCTTAAATAGAAGCATAGGTTGACATGTACATCAAATTAAAGGTCTTTACTAGCAGAATATAATGCCGCAAACTTGAACTCAAACGGACAACCGAGCCAAGAATGACAGTTGTTCAAAGATTCATTTAATTTGCATTGCTATTATACGCTTACTCCTCAGGGGGCACAGCCCTAGGAATAGGAAGAAAATTGTTAACGTAAGCATAGGTCTATATGCACTTCAAATAAATTAAAGGTCTTCACTAGTAGATTACAATGCCGTAAATTCAAGCTCAATTGAACGCCTGAGTAAAAAATGGCAGATTCAAGAAATCTTGGAACGGCTGCCATTTTGCGCAGGATGAACCTTTTGAAGTGCGATTTGCGGAATTGTATTCTACTAATAAATGCCTTCCATTTGATGCATATTGACCTATGCTTCCACTTAAGATTTACTTCCGACTCCTTGTGGGCTGCCCCCCTGAAGAGTTATTGGATCACTGAATATGTGTTAAGATAAAGTTTTATGCTCTGTAACTTTGTACCAAGTATTGTAGCTCTTCCTACATTATTTTTTTAAATATTTAACTGTCTTCGGACTTCGACCCTGTATTTAACATCTTGTAAGTTAACAGTAAAATTAAAATATATGTTTAAAGTGATGTTAGACTATTTTTACTTATTTCTTTAAATTTGATAACACGTATAAAAAAACTATCTAACATAAAAAAGTAATTGCTTTTCAAATCTATAAACTGTTTAAGAAATATTATATTTTTTGGTTCAAAATTGGGAAAACAAACCCCAATTGTTCACCCATAAAACTCCGTTTGCATATTGCGATTATCCTGGGAATATCGCTTAATGTACAAATCATCTTGATGAGTAGAGCTAATGTTTTACTCGTCCAAACATCTAAAGAGAAACTAAAGAGAAACTAAAATGCATTATGGTTTCGCACAATAGTTATTCATAAATTTTAATATTTTGTATGTTGTGTCTTTTTAATCATCCTTGAAAGTAGGGAGTTGTTTTTAAAACGTCCTGCTAATTTTATCGGCTTGAGAAGAACTTTGGAGGACATGTTTGCAACTTTAACTCTAATTTGAAAACACTCAACCTTTAATAAAAAAAACCTATCAACCTATATCATACCAATATTCAATTAAACATGTTTAAACTCTAAACCACCGTTGTACACCATAAAAGTTGTCTAGTAATTTACTCTGACATAAACATGCGGTGAACTCTCCTCAAACTTGTGGGTTCTGAGGTTTACCTTTGTGTCTGTTTACTCTTAGGTGGATCTGTCTGAGAAACCCTCTTTCTGGAAAGCTTTGAAACCCCCAGCTAAAGACAAGTGTGGGGAACTGTTGACCTCTCTATGCTACCACCCGAGCAACAGCATTCTCACCCTAACTCTCTTGAAAGCTCGCAACCTCAAGGCTAAGGACATCAATGGAAAATCCGGTAATTAGAAACTTACTCTGTAATACCGAGAAATAAGATAAATACTCAACACTTTGATGTTTCAACAACAACTTCCTAATCAAATATTAACTGAGAGTCTGGAAACATTGCAGTATATTTCATCAGGGACAACGCCAATTTATGTATGGTTAAATCGCCTTTTTTCAAATTTCGAGCCATATAGATTTCAAAAATATACAGGGTGTTTCCAAATTGTCTGGACATATTTTGTAGACTTGTTCCTTGGGCTAAGACAAACAGAAAATTTCATATGCGTATGGGTATAAAATGCCTAGATTTATGTATTTCGGTCTGTTTGTGATTTTTTTAAACAATTTTATAAGTTGGGCATTTTTCAAATAGAAATTTCAAATTGGTATTAATGTGTCATTTGAAAGGTAAAAAGAGCTTTAAAAATCGTTTCAATATCTCAAGCCTTTTCAATATGGTGGCCAATTAAAATAACAAAGGCCAAATTTCGTGAAAACATTAAATTCAGAAAATTGTTTTTAGGATCAAAAAGATAGAGGGTTAAAATGTAAATCAAATGAGATCTTATTTGACGAATTGGGATGACAAACAACCCAGTTATCAGGTTTTTTTTCTACATTCGGTTATGCAATTTAATAGGACTACTATAATAAACATAACTTAGTAGTCCTGAGCAGTATGGTAGCCCCTTTAAATTGCGTAACCGAATATAGATAAAAACGGATAGCTCGGTTTTCATGAAATTTGGCATTTCAGATTTTAAATGGCCGTCATATTAAAAAGGCTTGAGATATTGAAACGAATTTTTAAGCTCAATTTACTTTCTAAATGACAAATTTATACCAATTTTGAAATTTCTATCTTAAAAAATGCCCAACATAAAAAATAATTTTAAAAAATCGCAAACAGATAAACAGAAATCTATGCATTTTAGACCCATACTTATATGGCATTTAATGTTTGTCTTAGCCCAAGTAACAAGTCCACAAAATATGTCCAGACAATTTGGAAACACCCTGTATAGCTAAATAAATAAATAAGAAATATTAAAGCAAATATATTAAAAGAGATGAAAATAATAAAGCGTATTTTAAAGCCAATGAAACTTATTTTGACATTGAAATCAACAATATAAAAATTGAAAGTGAACCGTATGAATGTGTAAGAGGTTTAAATTATAGCTTACACACCTTCAATTTGCAGTTTAATATTATGTTAACAATTTCAAACATACTTTTAGTCAAAGCAATTTAACACTAAAGGGTTGCCATATTGTATTGCTTTTATATTGATCGTAAATAGATATCTGTAATTGTGTTTGTTGTTAACATGTTGTACCTATGCTAGAAGACTATATCAAATCCCACCTGTTTCAAATAAAATATTTAAATAAGTATAATTGATCTATCTCTGTATTGCGGATTTTCTCAGCTAAAGTTACGAGATAATCAACTTTTAGCTGAGTAAAATAAAATACTCGATTGTTTTAACGCTATTTTTATTTATTTGAATCTAATTTTTCCTTCATTTCATTGAGGTTTAATAGGGTAGAAAGTAATTATTCATGCTCAGTATGGATTAAGTATACTATAAATAAACAGTTGTGGTGCGGAACGAAAAGAAACCAAAGAGCAACCAATTTTTGTTTTAGAAGGAAAATAAATTACTCAACTACTACTACTTTTTCCCCTTTCTCTTCTCTTCTATCAACGTAAAATAAGCGTACAAATGTATATTATCAGTCTTATTTGAACTTACTTTGCTCTTTAATTTGTATAAAAGATAGGAACACACAGACTATTTCACATACTAACGGTTGAAGAATATAATGTAAATGCACTGCAATCATGAACATTCATACATGAAAACCAGGTAACCTTTCAAAATCTTGTGCCATTATGAATTATACCTTTGATTTCTTTAACCAAAGTACACTTCCTTCATCTTGGTTTGTTTCAGATCCCTATGTGAAAGTTTGGCTCCAATTTGGGGACAAAAGGATTGAGAAGCGTAAGACTCCTATTTTTAAATGTACCCTAAACCCAGTGTTCAATGAGAACTTCAGCTTCAATGTGCCCTGGGAAAAGATAAGAGAATGTTCATTGGACATCATGGTCATGGATTTTGACAATATTGGTCGCAATGAACTCATCGGCCGTATTTTGCTCGCTGGTACGTAGTTTTTGCAGATAAATTTTCAAACGTAATTTTTATTAATATATTTTGGATATATTATAGAATAACATATTGGACTCTATGTATTACAAAAATTTGTAAATCTATGTAACTTTTGTTCCTAACATAGAGAGACATTTTTAGTGTAAATCAACATTGAACACAAAAGATGTCCTTTAAATTTTACAATTGTGCACAGTTGCACTTTGTGCAAACTGTTTATTCATTACGAAACAACAACAGACAATCGACAAACTAATTGTAGGTCTGACTGACGGACTAATAGTTACCGCGAGTACAGTTAACTGTTGTATATCATTATATATTAATGGAAATCACTTTATTAGCATCTGGAATGCTTATTTAACAGACAGAGAACAGTCATTCACATGTTTTTTATTGGACTGATGTAGATTTAAATCATTTTATGTGTATCAGTTTATTATTATGTCACTATGTCAGTATTTATTGTGCAGTAAGTTAATTATCAGGCGATAGAGATATGAGATGGTAAAGTTCGATACCTTAAGTAAAGGGAAACTATTTATATTTATAGGACATAAATCCTTCCTGTAAACAGGAAGTAAGTAAACAGCACAGAATGGCACATCATATATGGGTGATTACATTTTGCATTCAAATAAGGTCACAGACTTGGGTTGCAATACTCTTTTTAAACCAAAGCTATAACTGTCATAACCTAAATAGTGTCATGAATTGTAAAAATATGTTGTGTATCATAGAGTTTAAATATATTTTCTTAACAGGCAAAAACGGGTCTGGTGCATCGGAGACAAAGCATTGGCAGGACATGATTACCAAACCCCGCCAAACCATTGTGCAATGGCATCGGCTAAAACCAGAGTAAGCGCGTCTCAGGGTGAGTCCATTGTGGTTATTTGATTCATCTTTTACAAGTTTAGTACTTTTATAAGGACGTCAGGCTTACCTGAGTGGGAAAATATCCATAGTTTCTCTGACAGTATTATCAACTAAAAAGATTGAGTAGGAAGGTAAGTTTAGGAAGATTAACCCTTGTACAGTGTTTTTTATCGTTAAGTTGTGCTGTGAAAGAAAGAGGTATTTATGAATATGACCAAGAACACGTTTTTACTAGTTAAGTTGCTGTTGACTTTCATGATTAAAATAGGAGGAAGCAAAGATTTATTTAGCAGATCATTTTTTTTTGGGGGGGGGGGGGGATTTCCTCATATTTTATCTTTTCAAAGTAATTTCAAGTACCATACAGATCGTTAGACACTAACAACCAATTATTATTTCCAGCTCTCAAACTCTCCTACATAACTCTAAACGTAAAGAACGTTATTGAAGGGTTTTCATGTTAGTAAAACATTTTAATGGATCTTTTAAAAATATTTATACTTTTAATATTTTTAATAACGATTCTGTTACCCACAACGACACATAAATTGAGTGTCCAAATACAGAATCCGCAAAGTTCATTTTGTTCTTTTATTGTTGAACTGATATTATACTGTTATACTGTTCTTGTTGGCAGGCACTAACTCGCTTCAGTGGCATGAATTGATGTTCCCCTTAGTATGACCATGTTTAGTTATTCAGAGATAGAGACTACTCCTGCTCCACCTTCGAACCAAGCAGGGACATCTTTGACCATTCGAGTGAGGATTTTTATAAACTCTACTTATTTCGACCCATCAGTGTTTAAGTCTAGTTTGTAAAAGAGATTTTAGTATCTGTTGGTGGTAAAAGCATTCCTTGTGTAAAGTTACACTTTTATGAAATAGGATATTTACACATTATTTTCTCTCGAAGGAGCCTGTACATGCGAATTATTTTGATATGTTTTGTGACACAAAGATAGAGTTAAACTGGCAGAGTTTTACCTGCTTTATTTTATAAATCTTTTCTTTGAGGAACGGTTGCTGTACTATAAAGTGTGCGAGTTTCTAAAATATTATATTTTTACCATCGACGTGGGGCGGGAACGATATATGTGGATACCGTAAAACGGAGGTAGTTTTAGAATGCTGTGCATGTGATACACTCGTATTCAGCTCAGCTATGTATGGAGACCTAACCTACATCCCGTCAATGTCACACAACTAACAATGTTTCATTGAGTAGAATCTGTTCATTTATGTCAGTGTGTTATGAATGTTTTATTGTTTAATGTTGTGTCGAATTATGTAGATGTTAATACATGTTTCGTTACGGTAACTATCATAATGTGAAGCACAAACGCTTTAATGGTTTGATTTGAAAGGCTGAAAGCTGGATAAAATATTTTAATTTTTGCTTTGGCCACTTAAAATAAGTCAAAGTTTACTCCCTTGGTTAAGTTACGATAGTAAAACTAATAGAAACAATTTAATTGCGAGTTACTTTCAGTTTTGCAGAGAGGATACGAAAATAGCAAATATTCTTTTTATAATAATAAATTAATATGTTACTTTTGAATGACTAAAGCAAGTATGGATGTTTGTAAACAATACCAATCTTATTTCAAATAATAATTGTCGGTAGATCCCCTTTTTAAGTTATGGTGGAAAATAAATCTCACGTATATATTGAAACAAATTTTTAGTTCATTATTGAAGTTTTAAGTGGCTAAAATACGAGTAATAAAACAAACACTTATTGATACATATTACTTTTATTGTAAGTTAAATAATACTAAGGATACATTATATTCAAACAACAATCATACTAAAGATACCAGCAAAATGGACGCTTCACTTGTACGTCAACATACAGTTTTATTTAAGTTAAAGAAATCTAAAAAGGTAATAATCTAAATTTCTTATGTGTTTATTTCTTATTTTACTTTCTTACTATGTGTTTATTTCTATTATAAAAAAGAAGAACAACTGTTTTAGCACTTTCCCACATGCCAAAAATATTTTGCATGATATATACAAAACTTAATGAAAGATTAAGTTGTTTGCCTTTTAAAGGGGGTGCTTTAATTTTACCTCATGATTAATGCATCTCCCTTACTTTAGGAAATAATTAAAGATATAAATTTCTATTTTCAAAAATATTACATATTTGCTACAACTGAGTAAGCAAAACTGAAATTTGTTTTGCAATGATAAAAGCTAGGTGAGGATGCCTGGACTAATAAGTTACTAAGGAAACAATCTTCTAGCAAACTGCCATAGTCTGGCCAAAATACCGAACTTACTTCAAGCTTGTAGGTAGCTTTTGAATGAAAAACGTTAAAAGGCGATCCACGAATTTGATTCGACACACCTTAGGTAAGTTTTATGTTCAAATCAAATAATATGTAGTGTAACAAAATAAGAAAGTTTCACAAGCACCCCCTACATAACAGGTAAACATCTGAGTCATTGACATTAAGACATGCGGTATAAGCCTCAGAATTATTATAATACATTTTAAATGTTTATTAGTAAAGATTAGTTATTTAGCACAATAACTGTTGACGAACCACTTACAAAACCTCTTGCTTTATGTGGATGTACAAGTAAAGACCAATCCGTTGATCTGGCGCACCTATGAAAATGCTAAACTGAAGTGAATTAATTCCTCTGAAACCTTTTCATATAGACAATTTATTAAATGTTGCTGATTTTACTTTTGTAGTTAGTTTTACATTAGAATATGAACTCCGTTATTCCTTAAAGGATGTATTTTTATAATAAAGAGTGCTGTTTGGGAATCCGTTTCCACTATCCAATAAAGGCTTGTTAAACTTTAAAATCTATTTAACTCTAACTGTACAACATTCGCTAAATATTTAAAACTTCAAGAACTATTGACCCACTTTTACCTTTGGCAGCTCATAGTTATTGAGAAAAATTTTAGACTTACAGTTCTCACCGCTTTCAAAAACTAGTTTTATAACCGATTTGTGTTTTAAGGGTGTTAACACTTTCACTGAGGACTCCTGTGGGAACATATGTTTTCAATTTATACTAAATCTTTTGCAGCTACCATATCATATGTTAATTATTATGCCATAATTGTTCATTTATTTGTTTGGCTGTCTCTATCAATTTATACATCCAATATTTATGGTACTTGTTATAAGAATTTAGGTTAAATTGTTCTGCAATAGTGTACTCGATACTGGTAAGTTACAAATTTAACTGTATTTGTCACCCATGACTTTAATTTTGACATTTTAGTTTATAAAATTATTAATTTCACGTATGTCCAAAATTGTGGATCTTTCCACTACCACATCAGACGCCAATTTATGAAACTCGACTTTAGAGGGTCCGGGCGACAAACTCGTGGGATAAATGGTGTTAGAAACATTGTCTGATACTATGCGCAAGTGTTTTCTCAGTGATCGTGTTAGACCTACATCTTGCATTAGCTTAGAATCAGTAGTAATGTTCTTTGAAGGGGCCAAAATATAAAGAATTTGTTTTCTCTTTTGGCATTTTTGAAGTGTGATTTGTAAATAAAACAATGTATACTCTTTTTTATATCAAAATCTATGAAACAATCTCTTCTTACTATCCACACTGGTATTTTTTGCTTGTCTTTGAGGATGTTTTCAGTCGTAAAGCCAAAAAATGCTCAATACATGTAGCTGTAAATTAGATGTTCCATTGAATGGGGAGAGGATGTGAGTTAAAATCATTCAATGGAAGTTGTCAAGCAGAGCCTAATTGATAAAGTTATTTGCAGTTTTGTAATAGATGAGCAATTAATTTGGGAAACAGTTGAAGTCTTACTGTTTATTTATATATTCGGAGTACAGACTCATGTATAAAAGCCCTCTAAATCTAATTCATAACATTGGTTAAGACCAGCTATAAACATTACGACAAATTCAAGTGTTAGAGTCACAAGGCGACACTGAACAACAATCATTTTCAGAGAAAATGGTCAATAACTGATGCGTTCAACTTTAGAAACATATCAGTTTTTATCAGGTTAAAGATTTAATCATTAAAATTAGATACTCTAATTATATTCAAATACAGAATGGTTTTTAACAATAAATAGCTTGTCTATTTTTCAAGCTCTTAAATTGTATTTTTTTATAATCTGAGACTTCTCAATCCAAGCCAACTTGCTTCTAATGAATTAACGATTCTTGTAAAAAGTTTTACCTCATTTTTGTTAGTTTGTTTTTATTACTCAAGGCAATACAGTTTTGACTATAGATGGATACAGTATGTTTAATGATATGATAAGTAGGAGAGAAAATTTAAAGAGCCACACGAGGAATAGCCAGAGGTTTTACCGACATACTTTTTGAACGTTGAGCCTCTAATATCAGTATAATGGAAGAACCTTTGCACAAACTGTTGCAGTATTCAAATTTAGAGATAAATACTCTTCCATCAGAAATGCATCTATGTTCTGTAAATTGTATTTAGAACTCATACAGTATCAAACAAAAATGTTAAGTTACTGTAAACTTGGATTTTGCCTTTTTGAAAACCAAAGTTAGTGTCGGAATGATCTCCAATCTTATTTTAATTGTCATTTACGATACTTGGTATACATTTTAGTTTTAGATAAGTTACTAGATTCGCTTGCTTCACACATGACAGTATAACATGTATTACAGTGATAATTTTCACCCGATTAAGCATAATAAAGTTTCTTCTATGGCTGCAATTTCATAATTTCAACTAAGCTAGCAGGGTGCGGGAAAGTAGTTATCTTTAGGACCCTTTAGTCAAATTATTTAGTCCCCAAACATATTTTGTAATGTAATTTGAAACATTAAATAAAATTCAGATTGCTTTCAATAAGTCGTTTGTTCAGTGCGACATTTTCAGACTATCGTAGTGAAATCCCTTCAAGTTGTGCTTGGAGATTAAGTTTTAGAAGCCATCATAATACATAGTATATATTTTTCCATACACACTTTGGTCTAGCCTAGATTTTCGCGACAGAGTCACACTGTCCACAAGATTTTGTAACCCGAGTGTAGGATAACAGATGTGATTCAACCACCAGAATCCCCTGACTTAATTTAGTATTTGTAGATAACATTTAACAATTTTAATAAGGATTTTTGTAGAGCCTCTTATTGCCCTCAGCTAGACAATTATTCTGACAAAACCGAGGACTGAGGGTTAGGTGGAGCTGATAACCTCGGTTGTATAAAGGTCTATTTATAAGATATAAATAATATTTGTTTATTTATCGAGTATTCTCTCGTAATTTGTATCATGTATAGATTAGTTTTGTTCAATGTTTTGTGGTCGTGTGTACAATTAGTCGGTAAATAAGTAATTAATTATTTTTCAATAATATCGAGAGTGACTATCGAAGTGGCAGTATCGAGTGTTCGATTTGAATTTGAACATTATCGAGTTTATCGATATTACTTTTAGAAGTATAGATAATAGGCAAAAGAACACACACGTTATAATGTCAAATCTCACATTATTCCCTGTAAATCTAAAGAGAATTGATTTATTTGTCGATTTTTTCCAAAGCGATTATACACATTCAATTGTTGGGTTTTGGCTGGTGATAGAATATGAAGGGTTATGTACAGAATTCATCCCGATGTTTTGTCAATCTTGTATAGTCCGTGAGGTAAATATTCATCCCTGTATGTGTTACACTTACGAACGTTTCCCGATCTGCAGGTTCGAAGTCTGCACTACAGTTGAGCCTCTGTGTGCAGGAGGGGTTTTATTAGAGATGTAACGAATAGTACTTTTGGTCGAATACCGAATACCGAGTATTCGGTGAGGTCTTGGCTCGTTTCACATCTACCCGGCATGCCGTTAACCCGACTTCCAGCCGGCACCGGCACGAGTGCACCTTTCACATTACGCCGACACCGGCACTCCGGCAGTTGTACTCCAGCTTGTAAAACTTGTGTGTCGTAGGGATGGAAATAGAACGTAATAGAGCAATTGTAATGTTACTTTGAAATAACCTTTATTGCAACTGTATTTATATTTGGATTTTTTTTTTAATTTCATTCTGTTTGAATTTTAGTAATATTCAATTCAATGTAATGTAATAAATGAAAATTAAAATTGAGTAAAAATTCAATTGAATTCAAATAATTCTGCTCTTGAACTAAATTGATAAGTAGATCATGGTCTATTTCCGAAATGACCAAAACTTTGCGAACAAATACCCAAAATTAATTCACAACAACTACAAACAACTGAACTCAAAGTACTCTTGGTGCACCCGACAGATGGCAGGTGCCGGTTGTATGTGAACAGTCACATTGGACCGCTTACCCACTACTCCAGCCGGCCTGTTTAACCGACACCGGCAGCCGGAATTCGCCGAGGGGGCACCCGGCATCCCTCGACTAGTATCCGGCAGCCGGGCAAGTGAATAACCGGTCACGACACATGCCGTGCATGTGTGAACGGTGTCATATACTTCTTCACCCCATTGCCGGTTAAACGACACCCGGCACCCGGCAGCCGGGTAGATGTGAAACAGGCCAAGGCGACCGAATATTCTGCCCCAGTTGTAGTTCATTTATGTTTAGGACCCACAGTCAAGTCACTACTGTACTTGTCTCTTTGTTATAGTGACGGGGAGGGTCATTGCACCATACTGTAATTTCACACTATCATCATCACAATTTACTATTAATTAAGTTTGATTATTAGTTTGCAAAGTTCTGAAAATAAATGTTGGTTCGGGTAATAATAAAATCCTTTCAAAATAATTTATTAAGGTTTTATTTTTCACAAAGTGTAATTATAACTAAATAAGGGTATTCGGTATTGGGCCGAATGTCGACTGGTAATACCGAATACTGAAAAATTGGCCGAATGGACCAAATACCGAATAGTAACCGAATATTCGTTACATCTCCAATAACAACCCCTGCAGATTGGCGAACGATTCGTAGAAAGCTATGGATGTTATAAGTATATGCCAGTAGAAAATATGTTATAAATATCTACATGTATGTTATATTTACTGTCTTTATTGTTAATGTTTGTTGTTATGTTATGTTTGCTGCGTCGCGTCGCGTCGTAGCAACTTTATGTATTCCAAACCGATCTGGCATGCGCTCAAACGATGTTGACGAGTATTGTATGAATTAATGTTTATGTGGATAAACTCTTCACTTCTCAGTGTTTATAATATGTATAATTTGACAGCGTGTAACATTCTAAAAGACCATGACTGATAAAGTTTTTGGTTTGTAAAAACTACAATGCATGTTCAAATTTATGTTGTACATAAAAAAGGGGTGAATATTTACCTAAAGTAGTGAATTTATGGCATCGTTTTATCATAAATTTGTAACACAGTAACTCTATTTCCTACCCTGATACAATGAGTTGACTGATACTTATTGATTTCTGTTAATTGAGTTATATCGATAAGAAGACAATTACATCTTATAAATAAATGTTACGTGTCATCATTATGAGTGTATGTAGCATTGTATTTATTTGTACACATTCGTTTATTTTTGTAACTGGTGTATTGACCTTTACACTGGGCCTTCCTATGATAATACTTTACATAGCTGATGAAAACAGTAGTATCTGTATAGCAGAGCTTTTAACTGTGAACTCGCTTATGAGAGGCATTAACTGTTCAGTGTTACTTTTATCGCTAAAACGCTAAAGTGTCACTAATACTAAGTAAGAGGAGTCATATAATAAATGTTTGTGCCATAGAATTAATGCCTGACAAAGATTTATGATGATTTCAAAGTATAAATAAAGCCAATAAAATTACTTATCATGTCAAAATGATATGGAAAGTGTGACTGTAATAATTTTGTCAAAGGTTCTGAATTAGAATGGTCAGTGGTTCAATACATCAGCTAGTTTATTTTTATGCAATCTCAGTGCTGTAATTCGGTTGAACAGTTTCCAACTTCAGTTGTAGAATTAGAGCAGTTTCTCCTCATTTGTGTATATTTATATGATTTAGCTTTTCTGTTAGTGTACTGGAGTGTCAAGTTATTGTATAATAAAGAATTTAAAATCCATTACTTCTTTTAATTTATTTTTTTTCTAATAAATCTGGTTAGAAAGAGTTATTTAATTAAAAGAACTGGTATAGATATGGAGCTTCAGAACACTTTTGGAGCTTATTACACAATACAAACAAGTTTTAAGGTAATTTAAAGAGTCTTGATATTGTATTTAGGTCTACGACCTACTGTACAATCATGTCGCCGAACGAACCTTATTACTCATCAAGGCAATCATCAAGTTCTGGATGACGCAAAATCTCGCATGAAAACGTCGTATCAGTACGCCCTGGAAAGCAAGGATTATCTACTTAAATTAACGTTTCTTATAATTTTTCTTGATGACAATGAGCTAATTCGTAAGAGTACTTTATCTACCCTACTTATTTAAAATAAACAATATCTCGACAATGATAAAGTTGAATAACATTTGTTTTGACAGAATCTCAATTCAAGGTAGTTTCATACAGAAGAGGTTATAAACGTTTTGGCCAGAAACAGGTAAATTTAATTATTTGATAGCAAATCAAACTGAAAACCTGAAGAGGATAATGCAACTGCAAATGGAGCATCAAGTTAAAATCTGAGAAAAGAGTCTTGAATTTTTTTGTTTTTGATTTTATTTGGGACATTTCAATGGATTTATTGAAGCTACCATATAGAATTTATACAAATTTTAAATATATAGTATAATCAATATATATTATATATTTATATGTTACAGAAAATAAGGAAGACAAAAAAACACAAGAACAAACTGTTTCCATTATGTTTTTTTTCTGCAATGAACATGCTATTATTTGACAATTTTCATAACTTCTTACCAAACAGTGTTATACAAATTTCTCAAATGGCTACTAAATGTATCAAACATTTATAAACTCAATCAAAAAATGTTCTCAAATTTAGAGACAATAGCTAAGCTATCACGTAATTTTTAGGTTCCAAGTCACAGCAATTCTTCATGCTGCTTTACAGTATAGTTGTTGGCAATAAATTTAAAGTACTGCTGGGTATTTTGATCCTCAAGAATGCGTCTATGGACTACCAGACAACACGGACTCCTTCAAAGAAGATCTTAAAATTAATTTTTGTCCAAGAATAATGAATCATTAAAATGATTTAATATTTGTTTGAATCTATAGATCATTTTAAATTTAGATAAACAACTTTGAAATTTTTCACAATTTGAATTTTAAATCATTTTTGAAGAACTAAAATGCAAGTGTTAGCAACTTTAAAAAAAAATAGGAATAACTATTTTACACTTTACTTTTTCTTGGAAATAACGAATTACTTCAAATTGAGGCTATGCAAATTTTATCAAAGTTATTGTTAAACACTTTTGTATGTGGAACTTTGAAACCCATTGTATTAAAAATACTAATGTAATATGATAATTTGAATGAAACTTGAAGACTTCAAAACTTCAAGGATCTGCAATCAAACGTAACGAAGAGATGTTATGGAATGTGTAAATGTAAAAAAGCTTTATAATCAGAACTCTCATATTTTTTTCCAATTTGGTTAAAACATATTAACTGTTGTGCTTGAATATCATTAAGGTATACGTTGTACGTAAACATGTTTAGAATATAGAATTTAAGTACTCGACTTGCCAATAACCAGCCACTTAAAAAAATATTTTCATAAAGTTGAGATTCAATTTAAAATGTTTGCAAGTACTTAACATCCATCCACTTTCCTTCTCAGAGTAACTAGGTTTAGAATAGGATATTTTCTTTGATAATATTATACATTTGAAAGTGAGAAAAAGATCATCAAATTTATGGTGGATCTATGTAATTGTTTACTAAATTCTAATCCCTAGGGTTTCACGAAAAGGAACTGTCTCAGGGAATAAAATAGGTGTTAAAATAGTAGATGCTTTTTAGTACACCTATATACCACCTTACGCCCTAAAAGCTAGAGGAAAATAAAGTTTAAAACAAAATTTTTACAAAGTACTCATCCGATGAAATCATTTGCTTATCCGGCTTTCCATGAGTTTTATAATAACGATTATTGATTATTTCAAAAAGAGGATTTGTGATCTTGTGAACTACCTACTTATAACAACTGTTTATTTAAAAGTTTTCTCTTCACACTTGTAGACAGAAAAAGTTACAAAACGTGTTTCAAACTCATTATTGCAGAAGTACGTCTTTATGTGTTTTACCTTTCAACAAGTATTGCTGGGTGTATGAAGAAGATGGCGATAACTAACAACAGCTAACAAATTAAACTACAGCTACATAAAGAAATATCCTCTGATAATCAAGATTCTACAGAGAAGCATTTGGACCAATCTGGAAGCATCTCAAATGGTTAACAAGTTGAACAGTTACTTTTCAGTATAAATTTAAACACACTACTCAAATATTAGAAGATTAGCATGAATGCAATCACATTATTGATACTATTTCAACTTAAACTTGGTTAAGTCTAAATATTGGTAATTTAAAATTTCTTTTCTCTAATTATAATAACATTAATCTGTTGAATTTTCACTAATCATTATATTTTATGAACTACAAAACATTTTGAAGTATTTTGGTTTTATTTATTCAACAAAAATTGGTTTGATAGCCCATTTAATTTATTCTAATATATACCTAAACAAATTTTGAATCCTTTGAAGAGAAAGAATGTCAGGGAGGTCAGCTGTTCCTGAAAATCATTCCACTGTGGTCATTTCCATGGACGAAGAAGCCTCCCACTCAAGAGAATGTAACATCCAACTGAAGGATAAAAGTACAGCAATTTTTTTATTTCATTATTTGAGTACAAACATTATTTAAAAAGTTTATAAGGAAGTTCTAGTTTGAATTTGCAGGAAAAATGGAAGACAAGCAACTGGTGTACAATGATATTTTAAAACTGCAGTATTGAATATATCATAATCTGCCATTTCTTACAAATATTTTGTCAATTCATTTTTTTCATTAATGTCTATAATTGTCTTAAATATTTAAATATCAGCTTTGGTTTACAGATTAAACAGCAATGCCTTGTTGTATACTTTGGTGTAATATCACAACAAATAAGCTTCACAATTTGTAAGAAATCAGAACAATTGTTGTTGTTTTTTTTTTGCAATCTAATTTCAAGAAAAAACTATTATACACTATATATATAAATAAGCAAACTTACATAAATCTTATCGTTACAGGTCTCATCATTTGAGAAAAAAAAACAGTTATATTTAGTCAATATTAATTAGTTTTGTAGTTGTTGATGTTTTAAAAAAAGCATGGTATGAATCACGATGAAAAATTATAAATTAAAACATGAGTTAATAAATTACAAATTCTATTACTTTCTCTTACGGATGAAGGATGAATTGTATGATTAAAACACTAGACCAAATTGTGTTTGTGTATTGTTCTTATCAAAATTATATTATTTTACTTATTTTTATTGTATGTAGATTACATCCTGCAACACACGTAAACATCCTAAAATATAATCATAGTACCCCTGAAATTGAACCCTTAGCGACTTTTATGGTTTCGCTTAAAGGTAAACATTGTGGTTTGTTAAAACAGGTTAAAAGTATATACAGTATTTTATATAATTAATTCATACGAAAAGAGCAAACCCTCACGAAAGACTATTGAAAGTACTATTGTTATTCTCTGTATTAAATTTAAAAAAAAACTTTCAAAATTTGGTTGAACCAAACGATACTTTACATTTCCACAAATGTTATTAGGTATTTATTTAAAATTAAAATTAAATTTGCATAAGGTTATTAAAACCCGTTATGCTATTTAAACTCATAATTTACTGTTAGTTATCATGTATCAGTTAACTCGGGCTTGCAACATTCCGTTATGCTATTTAAACTCATAATTTACTGTTAGTTATCATGTATCAGTTAACTCGGGCTTGCAACATTCCGTTATGCAATGTAAGTTAAATGTTTTAAATTGTATAGTGTATATTTAGGAAATGTGTATTAAGTGTTGTTCAACATGTTTGTAAAATGTAAATTGATTCTTTGAATGCTTGAACTTGGAATATGAGACTAGTGCATCATACATTTGTATAAGAGTTTTTTGTTGTATATTTATGTAACTTCTGTTCAATTTTTAATACGTGTAAATGCCAAACGTTATAAATATGGTTACGGGAAATACCATTTCTACGTTATGGAAGTTTTTAACTTGAAATTAGGTTATACAGTTGGTTGAATTGGTTGACCTTCAAATAAACCTCCCATATTTTGTAGTTAGAAATACGAAATAAACAATGTAAAAACATATGTTAGGAGTTGTGTATCTTATATTTCTGATTTCTATTCTTAATATACCTCACTCTATCAAGTGTTCCTTCATAGATTCTTTTGTATAGAGTTTAGGCTCAAGATGTCCCCACAAAAATTAATAATTAGGCATAAATTAACTTACTAATATATTTGTTTATAACAGATAATAGAGTATATAAAAGTCAAACAGGGTGGAACAGACCTCCTAGTGACAACCTCAAAAAAATTTTTGAAACAAAGTGTGCATTTGGAGCAAGAGCCAATACTTGAAACACATAAAACAATACAATTTTCAAACTATTCAAAGTTCTCGATGCTTATTTTAAGAGTTTTATTTAAGAATTTACCCTTGGATAGTTTTTATAACCCTTCAAAATATTGGAGGCTTTTAGGTCAAGCAGTAGTCTATGTTTTATAATTTTCTCTCATTGCGATAATTTATTATTGTAGCTAATAGGTAAGTAATTAGTAATGGGCACGGAACTTTTGGTTTTTGCATCGTAACTTTTTTAACAATTTTCATGTCTAATGCTAATGGTTTTTGTGATAGTAAATTGGTTGACACTACCATTTAGAAAGAGTTGCAATGCTTTACAGATTATTGATCGTTAATCAAATGACATATATATAAATGTTACTGTGTGTTGAAACAAAATAATACATGAAAACACAGTTCTATACACAAGTACAATATGTGAAACTACAAGAGGTAAAACATAGTTCTAAATTTTGATCCTGTACAGTATTTGTTAGGTGGTGTTGCTCACTTACAGTTCAGAAAATTATAAATCATTTTATTGAATTCCTTTTAAGTTACTTTTTCATCCTGTCTATTTGAAAACGTTACAATATAACATTGGTTCATGGTTTCACATAAGATAATCAATTTTGCAAATTGTTTAAATAACTGAAATGTAAATAAATTATTTTTATAAAGACCTAAGGCTTTTGTGTTGTTTGTCTACTTACTTCAAACCCTTTAGTCATTTTACAGTTACAGTTGATTTTATTATGTGTAATAGAAGGTTTTGTATTAAAATGTGAACCATTATAAAAAACTACTTTTTCATGTCCTGTGTATGTCCTTTTAGAATACATGTACATACATAATATTCTTAAGATATTACTGTCGAAAACACAAGACAGACGGAAAGAAAAACTGGGAGGGTTCAATATTTGGCTATTAGTGTTTGCCGAATACTTAATACTTTTAGTCATATTTTTCACACTACAATTAAACAACCCCACCACAGCTAACCTGCATACTAATACGATTTTTCATTTGTATGATTGTATTTTTACTGAAATGTTCCCTTAAACATATTTTATTTATTCCCTATTGAAATAATATAATGTTTAACGGGTTTGCTGCTAACTAAAGGGAAGAAAAAAGTGTTTG